AACGAACGCATATTCACGACGACGTATGTTGTTTTAACAATGACGATGTTAGCGTCGATGTTGACTGTGGCGATGACGGCGGCGGCGGTGAATCTACAGATGGCGACGCTGAGTGTGATGAGGACGACGATTGCTCCGATGCTATGGATGATGGTGAGAGGATGAGGAGTGCAGGATGATATGGGGGAGGACGAGGGATTGGACTATAATAATATGGAATGTGATGGATGATGTGAGGAGTAGGACGAGTTGGATGATGAGAAGGAGCGTGCGAGGGATGATACTGATGAGTTTGGCGATGATGTGGAGAAGGGGAGGTGGATAAGGGTGATCATGAGGATTGAGGTGCAGGACGAGGAGGATGACGGAGGAGGATGAGGAGGGGGATGAGGACGGGCAGTGTGGAGGATGATGAGGAGGATGCGGGGGCAGAGAACGAGAACGGTGAGCAGAAACGAGGACGATGCGGGGTGGGAAAATGGGCACGACGACTGCGCCAGCGCCTGCGGAGAGGCAGAAGTTCGACGAGGCGCGCGCCAAGTCGCAGGCCGAGGGCAGCTCAAGTCATAGTGCCTCCGTCGCCATCGTCGTCCGGCTGCTGCTGCTCCCCGCCTTGCTCTCCTCCTGGTCCTTCTGCCCCTATGGCCGTGACCCGTCTGGTGGGCTGGGGGGGGGCCTCGGGCCCACCGCGAGGGACGCGCCGTCCCTTGCCCCCAGACTTGCCGGGCCATGTGCAGGGCACCCGCGGGACCTTTCCAGCAGTGTCGTACTCCTTTCCTTCCCTCCTCCCTCCACTCCTCCCGCTGCTACTCCGCCTCCTCCTCCTCTTCATCCCCCTCCTTCCTCCCCTCTTCCTCTCCTTCCCTCATCCCTCCTCCTCCCTCCTCCTCTCCTCCACCTCCCTCTCCTCTTCCTCTTCCTCTTCATCCTCCTCCCTCATCCCTTCCACTCCTCCCTATGCTCCACGACCTCGCGACGGCTTCCCAGTCGCAGGCTGGCCCCTGGTGGGCCGCGCCGCTCCGCCCCCCTCATCCCTTGTCTGATGGATCGGCAGGTGCGGGCCTTCCAGCCATTCCCATCAATCTTTCCCTTGCCTTTACTCATCATTCCCTCCTCTCCTCCTCCGCCCTCCTCCTCCGCTCCTCCTCCTCATCATCCCACCCCCCATTTTTCCCCCCTCCTCCCCCCCTCCTTCCTTTCGGATCCTCGTCCTCCTCGTCCTTCCCCCTCCTTGGGGTCAGGGTGAAGATGCGGGGTTATGGGTTTCGGGCGAGCAGCAGGAGAGAAAGAGGCCAGGAAGATGAGGGCGAGGGCAGGAGTCCTATGATGTTGATGATGCTGCTGATGATGATTCTGATGGTGATGAGAAGGATGAGGATGAGGACGATAAGGAACAAGAGGAGACGGAATAGTTTCTTTGGACGGGAATGGTTGTACTGAGGATGATTGTGGCAATAATGTTGGTGATCATGCGAATGACGGTGGTTGTGATGACGATGACGATGATAATTACGATGGCGAATGATAGGCCGATGCTGGGGTGACGAGCCTGATCACGATTTTGAGGCGGTGCTGGTCGCGCTCGCGAGGCTGGGTAAGTATGATGATATCCATAAGGATGCCGACGACGATGATGATGCAGTTGTTGGTGATAAGTGCGTAAGGCAATGGTAGTGATATTGCCGACGATGGTGCTGGCGACTACGACGGTGATATTGCCGTTGCCGATCATGACGCTGCTGATGATAATGTTGCGCGGTCTAGTGCCTGTGGTTTTAAGGAAAAAGGGGATGACAGGGATTCTGATAATGTCGGTCGGGGCTTCGATGAGCCAATACGAGGAATGGGATGGTAAGGACAATGATTTTGCTGCTGAGCATGATAACGGCGATAGTGATGCTTTGATGATGATGGCAACGATGTTGCCTGCTAGTTTATCTGTAAAAGACTTAAGTGGATCGTGCTTTTGATGATGATGCTGTTGATGATGGTGATGATCAGGACGATGATGATGCTGATGCTGATGCTGATGATGGTGGTGGTGGTGATGATGACGATTGTCATGTGTGATATGGTGGTGGTGATGATGATGCTGTCGCTGCTGCTGATGATGATGCTGGTGATGATGATGATAATGATGATGGTGATGATTCTGATGATGATGATGCTGCTGCTGATGCTGATGATGATGGTGGTGATGCTGATGCTGCTGCTGCTGATGATGATGATGATGATGATGATGATGATGATGATCATGCTGCTGCTGCTGCTGATGATGATGATGATGGTAACGACGATGACGATGTTAACCGTTTGGGAACAAGGAGGGAGTGGATGGGGAGGAGGATGATGATGAGGGGGACGCCCCCTAGCACGTCCAAGTACCCTTGCGAACGCCTGGCAGCCTCCTAAACGCTCTAACCTCACTCACTCCTCATTCATCATTGCTTCTCCTCTACCTCCTCCTCCTCGAGGGCGAGGGTCGTGATACGTTTGCTGCTGCTTATGCCGCGGGCGCCGCCGCCGCCGATGCTGATGTTGTTGTGATGATGCTGATGCTGATGATGATGGTGATGCTGGTGACGGTGGTGATGCTGATTCTGATGATGATGCGGATCCTGATGCTGATGATGTTGATGATGCTGATGACGATGTTGCTGCTGCTGCTGATGATGATGATGATGATGATGATGATGATGATGATGATGATGATCACCATCGTGAAGAGTAAGACCAGGGTTGCCAGGACGAGCTGGATGGTCAGCGGAGAGGATGAGGAAGTTCAGGGCGACGGGGATTACGGGAGATGAGAGGAAAAGGAAGATGATGAGGAGAAAGGGGAGGAGGAGAAGGAGGAGGAGGACGACGACGACGAGAAGGAGGGGGAGGAGGAGGAGGAGGAGGAGGAGGAGGAGGAGGAGGAGGAGGAGGAGGTGGATGAGGAGGAAGAGGAGGAGGAGGTGGATGAGGAGGAGGAGGAACAGGACGAGGAGGAGGAGGAGGATGAGGAGGAGGGGTGGGAGGAGGAGGAGGAGTATGAGGAGGAGGAGGAGGAGGAGGAGGAGGAGGAGGAGGATCGAGGATCTAGGATCGAGGGATACAGGGAAGTCGTGGTCGACTGGGCCGCCGCGCCTCCGCCCCGTGCCTGCTTGAGGGGCAACGCGAACTGGTTAACCTCAGTCACCTTGTCACCGCGCTGCTACTCCCTCGGGAAACAGAGCCGACTGCACATGGGTACGTCCGCCCTCAGGTTCACGTTCATTGTGATACTCTTCCTGTTGGCGCCCACGCGTGCGTTCTCCCGCACGGTTAACAAGCGCAGAACGAACTCCCAACCCATGCGTGCGCATGCGTGTGAGGAACATGCATAAGGTGACAACAGTGAAAACGTAGCTAGATGGGCGAACGCCAGAAACCACATCCAGAAAGTGGAGGACGACGTGGCCGTCAATTCGGCAGCCCCCAAGGGAGGTAAACCAACCAGTGCTGCCAGTACTCCACACTGAAAGCAGACAACAGCAACTTACTTCTTGACACAACCACGCGCTTCAATTTGCCACCCGTGAACTCTTGTCACTTCTGTGGGCCCAGGCCACGGCTTGAATTGAATTGGTTTGAAACTGAAGCCCCGGTAGCAGAGAACAACTACTGCAGAGCAACAGCATTCGAGCCTACTATCCGAGATTGGCTCGAAAGGGTGTTCCTGGCATGAAAACAATCCATCCCGTTTACCAGAGGCCCCATCTACCTTCCCCAGGCGGTTGTGGGAGAAACCTGCAAAGTAGTTGACGGCACGGCACCGAAGATCACGAACAAGACGAGCATGGCAGGGCGCTGCAGAAGAATGCGTGCGCCTCTATCGTTCCAGCCCGCCACCATCCGTGACGCTCCGCCCCGTTGAGCATCGAGAGGGCAGACTGTCAAATCCACCACCAGAACAGCTCAAACCTGAAACATATACATACACTCCCCATGCGGGTTTGGGAGACCCCTGCACTGTAGCTGATGACAACAGACCACCAGACAGGACAAGTATCCATCCTCGCCGCTGCTTGGTGCCACCCACCAGGCCAGGGAATAGTGTCTACGCCTGTTACTCCGATTGCACTTACGCGGCGGTCCCTTACGCTCCCCCTCAAGTGCGGGTAAAAGTCAGCGCGTCCTATGGCGGTCACACCCTTGACGGCGCGCGGCAATCGGCACCCCGGGCATCCGGCCAGTTGGAGCCAAACTTGGTCTTAGTCGAGATGTTACTTGAGAGGATGATGATGAGGAGGAGGGATATGTGGTGGAAGAGGAGGAAGAGGAGCAGCAGGAGGAGGAGGAGGAGTAAGACGACGCTCGACGAGGACGCCCCCGAGCCAGGGCATGGGCATGGGGCTGTTCTCGCAGGGCACGAAAGCGGAGAGCGGCGTCTGGGAGCGCTGGTTTGCCCAGAATTGCGGGGCAGGGGGGGGGGGGATGAGGAGTAGCAGAAAGAGAGGCGGAGTCGCAGTCGGAGCCGGGGGAGCCATGGTCGCAGTCCGAGGGAGGAGGAGGAGGAGGAGGAGGAGGAGGAGGAGGAGGAGAAGGATGATGAGCATGAGGAGGATGATTGATGAACAGGAGGGGCAAGAGGAGGAGGGGAAGGAGGAGGAGAAGGACGAACAGGAGGAAGAGCGTAAACGCAAGAGCTTTCCAACGATGTTGCAATACACCTTCCCTCCTAGCGTTCTCTTCCCAAGTCCCTATAGCAGATGTTATCTATTTCTCCACATCCGAGAAGATAGTCTGTCCAAGCATGTATGTTCACTGGGGCAAGTGCTTCTTCGGAAGGCAACCGCCTGAAAATTCTGAACCATGCCAAACTAAAATTATTCTTGGGACTTCAACACCGCGAATTGAATTGCTTTTTGCGCCCTGACGATCCTGAACCGTGCCATAGTGTTGTTCCTGGGACTTCAACACCGCGAATCAACGTGACGGTTGCTCCCTGACAGTCTTGCATCGTGCCCAAACGCAACTTCTCGGAGCTCAGCCATTCGAGTCTTCGAAGCTGCTTTAAACTCTTAAGACGGCGGCGCTGGGGCGAGAGCCATATTTCGAAAACGGCCCGCCCTCCAACCGTGAAGCTCTTGCGATTTTTTTTACACGAGTGAGCGCGGCAGTAGGGCGATTGCCATATTTTGAAATCGGCGAGCTCTCGATCCGTGAAGCTCTTGCGAACGTTTTAGACGAATGTGTGCGGCGCTGAGGGCCAGAGCCACATTCGGAAAACGGCTCGCCCTCCATCGATGAAACTCTTGCAAACTTTTGACACGAATGTTCGCGGCGCTGAAGCGAGGGCCACATTTTGAAAACGGCCCGCCTTCCATCCGTAAAATTATTGCATTGTTTGCTGAATGATTTTGAATTGCGAGGAAGCCTCACGCGAAACACCCAGCCCGCCCTACTGACACGTCTCGGGGTGTGACAGGGAGGTGCTATTTCCAAGGAGAAGGGATGGAGGAGGAATAGGATGAGGGGAAGGAGGAGGATGAGGATGAGGATTAGGATGAGGATGAGGATGAGGGTGAGGATGAGGATGAGGATGAGAATGCGGAGGAGGAGAATGAGGAGGAGGAGAATGAGGAGGAGGAAAAGAAGGAGGAGGAGGAGCAGAAGGAGGAGGAGGAGGAGGAGGAGCAGGAGCAGGAGGAGGAGCAGGAGGAGGGGGAGGGCTCCGGCGAGCGCCCCGCTTCGCCGAGGTCGGGCGAGAAGCGCAGGGCGCAGGCGGCGGGCCCTGGCGACGCGGAGGCTGCCGCGGCGCGCGGGCGCGCGCCGCCGAGTCTGCCCAAGGCCCGCCGCGGCCAGGGTCCGGGGTCTTCTCTTGTATCTGCACTAACGAAATGGGTACGGAAAGAATGGGTACAATGGCCAACAGCAGTTCCTGTTCATTTTGAACAGGACTCGCTGTCGGTGTAGCCGCGGCCTTTGTCAATTTGAGACAGAAGGCTGCCTGCCCAACAGCGGCCGCTGCTGGTTTGGGACAACATTTGTTGTTGGGCATTGTACCCATTTTGGGCGTCCCAATTGTAGGCTTCGCCGATATCTCGGGTTTTTGGGCTCGCACCTTCTCCCCTCCCCTCCCCCGGCAAGAGTCTCCCCCCAGACTTCTCTCAGGGTGCGCGTCGACTACGAATTTCAAGGGGGATCCAGCTGTGGCCACGAGAAGTCTCTTGGAGATCCGGAAAAGCCCCGCCAAAATCATGAAGAACGCAGAAAAACATTGATCTTCGAAACTCGGCCCTCGAAACTCGATCCAAGATCCCCCTGGATAATCCGGCCCTGTCGGTTGCGCAGGTCCGAAGGGGGTACGCGCTGCTGGCGCGCGCGGGCATGCGAGGGGCTGCCCACAGCGAGAAGGAACGGTTCTCGGCCGGCGCCTCCCTCCCCCCCTCCGACCGGATTGCCCAGGTACCATCGAATCCAAATAGCGATCTCCTGCCACTCCAGGGGCCCTGAGATCCGACGTTGCAACAAAAAGTACCAACGTCGTATATAATTCAGACGTGCTCTTGTGGAGGCAGACATCACGGCGGCAGGTTTTCTGCCGTTTTCGGCGCCCAGGGGCCCTCGCTGGGCCCCAGGACCGTGAACAAAAACGGTTCGCGATGGAAAACCGGCCCGGGGGAACGGGTCGTGACTTCGGGGGCCCCGCTTCGAAAGAATCGGGAGGTCGCATGTCTTGGGGGGCTCCCAACTTGGTCCGAGCAGGTGGGGCCGAAGGCTCGCGCAGAGCCGCCGACGCATCGGCGGCGCGGCTCGATGTGGAGCCCGATGTTCTCCGCGCCGACGTCACCGAGGCACCGCCGACGTCGCCGGTGCATCTCCGATGCATCGCCGATGCGTCGCCGATGCATCGGCGATGCGGCGCGATCCTCCGACCCCAGCTGTTCGGGCCCCACCTGGGACGCCTCCACACAGGCGCTGGCCATGCCGACCCTCACCGAGCGAGTTCCACTACTCGCAAAGGGCCAAGTCGCAAAATTCCCACGCGCCGACGTCGAGGAGCCCAGGTCTCCAGCGATGTGCGTCTTGCAGCCGGGGCGCGCCTCCCGCGCTTCGACCCTTGGGGGGCCCGTCTTCGGGCCTTCGATGGCCATCCAGAAGGGCCCCGGCGCCATCGCCGCGGCGGTGCGCACTGGCCCTCCTTCGGGTGGCTCCGGCTCCGGCTCCGGCGGCGACTCATCTGGCGAGTTCGCCTCGAGGAGTCTTCTCGGATGAAGACAGGAGCAGGAGACGACGACGACGACGACGACGACGACGATGACGATGACGACCCGCTGGGCGGGAGCAGCTCGGTCTGCCGTGGCGAGGACCTCCCAGATCTCCGACGATAGTTGATACTTTTCCTGTCCGGGCGTTTTTATCCGACGCCCCCCAGGGGCCGGAAGCATTCGAAAGCGGCGCTGTCACCAGTCACGACTGATTTGCGTCGCCTGGATCTGAGGGTTCTGCGGACACGGTAGGCTCTTGTCGTGTCGACGCGGCGGCGACCCCAGCGCAGGCGTTCAAGGCTGACCGCCACCAGCGGCCTGGAATCGGCCGACATCGAACGAGTCCGCGCGATCGGAAAGCCGCTCTCCTACAAGGTTGAGCACCCGCGCGGTGCCAGAGACCAACGCAAAGCCGAGACGTCCGATGTCGTGATTTTTACAGGCCGCGGCTTCCCAGAGGACTGGACTTCATCCCCGCGACCGGCTCTCCATCCGGAGTTAATTGGTTTCAACGGCCCAGGAGTCCCGCGAGGGCCCCAGGAGGCCGAAAAGGGTTCAGAACCTTCCGCCGGTCACGACTTGAGGAGGCTTGGTTTTGGGGTCAGACCTCCGGTCTCCGGCGGCCGGCACCCTGGAGCGCTCCCGACGGAGCACTGCTGCTGGAAGGCATCGCGAGGCAAGAAAGCCTGTGAGTCCTCGGCGAAGCCAAGACCAGAGCAGGACGGTGTGGACTACGACATGATGTGTACACGCGTTCTGTCTGTATCCGGAGCTGTCATGGAGAGGATGAGTGAGCGTGCCAAGGCTCCCCCCCCTATATATATATATATATATATATATATACACATATGTATATGTATATGTATATGTATATGTATGTATATGGTCGCTTTTGACAAGCTGAAGTGACATGTCTGTGCCCCGAGGGCTCGCCGCATCGACGCCTGCCGTCGACGTGTCTGCTCAAGTCTTTGAGGGGCCCAGCGTGCCCCCAGCCTATGGTCGTGCGCGGCCTAGGCTTCTCAGTCTTTTGCCACTTGAGTGCCATAGGCGTGGCGCGCTTGTGGTGGCAGCCTGCGCCGAGGCTGCCACCCGCCGCTCCCGCGGCGGCTGCAGGTGCTGTCCAGCCCGAGTTCTCGGCGCCGGAGCGGGATGAGCCGCCTGAGGTGCTGGTCCCACTGTCGGATTGCATCGCGGCAGCTGTGGGCGCCAGTCCGCCGTCGGGGTGCCCGTCGCCGTGTACCCCTTGCCCGGCGTGCCCAGAGGCAGGCGAGTCGTCTACGCCTTTCTGGACGCTGCAGATCGGGACTAGGCTCCTGGGGCTGCTGTTCGTGGAGAGTGCCAAGCTCGTGCTCGCTCTGGCCCGTCGGCTCGGGAGCGCGTTGCGGCAGGTTGCTGGAAGCGTAGGCCCGCGCCCTCGCGTCGCCCTCGGCGACCGTGCGCGCACTAGTAAGTTTCCGCTTGTTCCCGTTTCCGCGGCCGGTTGCCCGGCACTATCTGGTTCGAGCAGTTCGCGGGGGGTTCGAAGACGAGTCGTCGAAACCATGTCGGAATGGCGCAAACGCACACGTATCGCAACCAATGTTGCCGAATATGTATGAGTTTGCGTTTATAGCAAGCATTTGGCTCACAGCGTCCAAGAATAGCAGCCAATGCACAAATCGCGTCCGTTCTGGCACGTATTGGTATGCATCGTCCAAATTTGCAGCCGACGCATGATTTTGATTAGTATGACCGCATTTGCTGCGCTTTGCAGAGACGATGGCTGAAAACGCTCCTTCTTTATCGAAATCAGCTTAGGTCTTAAAGATTGTGTAGCTTTCGCGCAAAAGGCGATATTTGGGAGGCCATTGAGCACGTTCTCCGCGTTTTGCGAGCGATCCCCTTCGGGGCCCACTTCGCGAGCCAGGGTTGGCTTGATCGACGTACTCAATAATCGTCCTGCTGTTTCGCCCTCTCTTTTGTCATTTGTTAATCTGCCGTCGCGCGCTCCCGCGCCCCACACCCCGTCTGGAGGCCCAAGAGACCCATCGGAGGCGGAAAAAATATCGAACAACACAGGTGCTGTAAGAAGGGGCCCGAAAAGCAGTTGGAACCTTCTTGGGGTCGCCTTGGGGCCTCTTGGATGCATGCCGACTTTGCTTGCACTTATGCAGCGCCATATCGGGGGCAGCCTGCTGCAAGAGGGGCGCGCTCCTGGAGCAGCCCCGGGACGCTCTAGCCTGGGCGCCCCTTCCAAGCCCAGGGGGGCAGGCAGGGGGCAAAACCGTTTCCCGAGCAGAGCCTCGAGCAGAGGCATCGGTGCCACGACCAGGGGGAAGGGGAAGAAGAAGCAGGGGAACCGCGTCAAACCACTCTCCCCAGTTGTTTGGTTGAGAAGTCAATGGCCGCGCAAGGTAGATTCCGCCTGGGCCAAGCCCATGCAGAAACAAGTATTGTGCAAATTGTCGGCTTTCCCCACATTCCAAGTGGGTTTCTGATTTTCTTCACATACGCGTCGCACCCGCGTGTCCCCCACATGTTTCGTGGGGTTTTGGTTTTCTTCCCTGCCGCGGCGCACCCGCGTCTCCTCTCACACACCTCACTCCCCCCCCCTCCTCCTCACACCACTGCTCAGCACAGCTCAGCTCAGCTCAGCTCAGCGCGGCGCAGCTGAGCACAGTTCAGCTCAGCTCAACTCAGCACAGCAGAGCACGGCACGGCACAGCACAGCACAGCAAACCGCACAGCAGCACAGTACAGCACAGCACAGCATAGCACGCAGGGCATTCCTTCGACGCCACAGAGGGCGCGCTGGGGGTGGGGGCCCTATGCGTTGTAGGCCCGCGGGGCGTGGCAGACGTGGCATTTCCTCGACGCCACAGGGGGTGCGCTAGGGGTGGGGGCCCTATGCGCTGTAGGCCCCCAGGACGTGGCAGGCGCGGCATCTCCTCGACGCCACAGGGGGTGCGCTGGTGGTGGGGGCCTTATGCGCTGTAGGCTCCCAGGGCGTGGCAGGCGTGGCATTTCCTCGACGCCACAGGGGGCGCGCTGGGGGTGGGGGCCCTATGCGTTGTAGGCCCGCGGGGCGTGGCAGCGTGGCATTTCCTCGACGCCACAGGGGGTGCGCTGGGAGGTGGGAGCCCTAGGCGCTGTAGGCTCCCAGGGCGTGGCAGGCGCGGCATTTCCTCGACGCCATGGGGGGGGGGGGGGGGCGTTGGGGGTGGGGGCACTATGCGCTGTAGGCTCCCAGGGCGTGGCAGGCGTGGCATTTCCTCGACGCCACAGGGGTTGCGCTCGGAGGTGGGGGCCCTATGCGCTGTAGGCCCCCAGGACGTGGCAGGCGCGGCATCTCCTCGACGCCACAGGGGGTGCGCTGGGGGTGGGGGCTTTATGCGATGTAGGCACCCAGGGCGTGGCAGGCGTGGCATTTCCTCGACGCCACAGGGGGTGCGTTGGGTGGTGGGTGCCCTATGCGCTGTAGGCCCCCAGGGCGTGGCGGGCGCGGCATTTCCTCGGCGCCACAATGGGGGCGCGCTGGGGGTGGGGGCCCTATGCGTTGTAGGCCCGCGGGGCGTGGCAGGCGTGGCATTTCCTCGG